CCCCCCCCCCCACCCCTCTTTTTCCCTCTCTTTCTTCTACAGATAAGTATCATCAACAGGATAAACAGAAGAAAATGGCACATAAAGAGTGCAGATTTGGTGTCTTCTCTGTGTCATTGTAAAAAATGTATAAGCACAGTTTTAGGGTCTGCTTCTGTTTCAGGAGAAGATTCAGGACAAATGTAGCAGAAGCACCAGAAGATGTGAAGAGGGTGTTTGATCAATACTCAGAAAATGGCACAATGAACATTGATCAATTGCAGATGTTTTTGGAAGAGGTTCAAGGAGAAGAATCTGAGATGAAAGCTCATGCCATCTTCGACAATCTCAAGCATCTCAATATCTTCCAGAGAAGAGGCCTTCGTCTTGAAGATTTCTTCCAATATCTTCTCGGAGACCTTAATCTTGCTTTCTCGCCCTCGCAAGGGGTAATCTCTTTTTCTTCTCTTTACCTTTCAGACCAATATACAATATTTGCAATGTCACACCATCCTTTAAACCAGAGAATCATTCAGAGATAAAAATGAATTAAAATATATTTGAATATCACAGTATTTTCAAAGACAATCAGTTCTTTTATAACACAGATTTTCCTTTTCATTCAAAAATTATATGTTTGTGAACAGTGAGTTCACTATGAACAATAATATTGAACATCTCAAGCAAGGCGGGCCACGTTTCTTAAAATAATTTACATAACAAGTCCTGGTTTTCTGTTTGAGAATTTTGTCAAACAAAGTAGTTTTTTTTCCTGGAGTTACAAATTCCCCTCCCTAGTCTGGTCAAGTTCTAACTCTTTTTTTTATCAAAGTCAATTTCCTAGACAAATAATTGACAAAATAGTTCTGATCTTAAGTGCGAAGAAACTCTTTTTCCTGACAATATCTATTAAGAAAAGATTCATGTTCTATATCATGATCTTCTTGATATATATAATAGTGAAAATTATTTTCCTTTAGTATGTTTCAGTTATATTATCTCTCATTTATTTTGGTTTTTGAAGGTTTTTAGAGAAGAATCATGATCTTACTAAATATTGCTCGGACAAAGAGTATGCGCTTTTATAATACATTAGAATTTTCAAACTCTGTTAATTAATATTGTTTTTTTTTTTAGAATTTTGGAGTACAACTCACTATTTTTTCTTTTTCCAGAAAATCTGATTTCCTACTTGCATATTGACTATATTTTGGTCTGCTGCTAAAATTAATTTAAGACCCGGTCATTAAGATTATATAATGTATCTACAGAAATCTTATCTGTCGTCCCAAACTTATACTTTAAACACCATGTGGTTCAAAATAAAAATTGAATGACCATGAGGAATAAAATGAATTTTGTGAAATTCTAGGGGTCAAAATACAATGTTTTTAAGTAGAAGAGCCCAAAATAAGTCCAATTGTTAAGGAAGTATAACTACCACTTCTACCAATCGACTGTTACCTTCATTTTTCACTGAGAAATCTAATAAATTTGTAAAGGAAGCTATGATATTATTGATTAATAGTTGAGAACTGGATGCAGGTTTATCAGGACATGAGAGCCCCATTGTCTCACTACTACATATTTACAGGCCACAACTCCTACCTAACAGGAAATCAACTGAGTAGTGCTAGCAGTGTGACTCCTATCATAAGGGCTCTGAAAAGAGGAGTAAGAGCAATTGAGTTGGATTTGTGGCCTAGTTCCAAGAAAAATGGCATTGACGTTCTTCATGGAGGGTATGACCTAAAGTTTGAAGACTATCCAAATTTCAATTAACCTTTATAAAGCGCTGATTCGAACAGGGATCAACTTAAAGACACTACTCCTATGAGAACCCCCTGATACACTCTAGATAACTTATCTCCTTCTGATGAAAATATTGTCTTTTCGTGCATATAAAAATGTAGGAAAAGGTAAAAACTACCAATAAAAGCTATGTAGAGAATAATGAAGAGAAAATTGAAAAAAATGCAATAGAAGTTATGTGTGTGTTTGTGTTTTAAGAAGTTTCTGCATTGACTAACCAAATATCCATGGAGCTGCAGGACATTCACAGCTCCTGTGAAACTCATCAAATGCCTGCGGGCAATTAAAGATCATGCTTTTACTGCTTCTGAATATCCTGTAGTGATAACTTTTGAGGACCATCTCACCCATGATCTTCGAAAAGAAGTGGCCAAGGTGAGACATAGAGCTTACAGTCTTGTTAAGTTAGATCCTCTTTGATAACAGTTCTGTTTCATAGTTTTAATTCTTTTGGAAAAAAAATCAGTTGCTAATATATATATACATATATATATATATACTCCAAGGATAATACTTCTGAATTTATTCAAATTTCAATAATAATAGTTTTTTAAGACATGTTTAATAATTTTTTTAAAAAATTGTTGTGTTTTTAGAAATTATGTTTTTATTTGTTTTCTATTATAATTTTAAAATGCTTTTTTAAATCCTAACCAAATTATGAAAACTAAAAGCATAGCTTTTAAATTTTCAAAATTTTACTAAGATTTCAAAAACAATTTAAAATTTGTGAAAATTTAAACAAATAAAAAAATAATAATTTTTTATAAACTTAATTTTTAAAAACAAAAATGTTTTTAAACAAAGCCTTGGTTTTTAAAACCTTACAAGAATTTTGAAAAGTAGACTCCAAAAAAAAATTTTAAAAGTATAAAATTAATGGTAAAATACTCACCAAATGGACCATACACTTCCATTCTTTATAAGGGTCATTAATTGTTCTTACCTTTGTAATTATGTGTAGATGGTTACTACAACATTTGGGGATATCCTCTACGTTCCTAAATCTGAAGACTTGAATGAATTCCCGTCGCCAGAGTCGCTGAAGGGCAGGATTCTTATTTCAACCAAACCACCAGAGCACACTAAAGTTGAGAGCACCAAGGAAAAACCATCAGCAGATAAGCAAAGAGACACAGCAGATGATGACATTTGGGAGAGTGCAATGTCACGAGAAGATACGGATGAGGTGCACATCATAATTTGCCTATTCTTTCATTATTTTTCATGAAAACAAATAACTTATAATGATGTAACAAAATCTAGAACATTTAGACGAACCTGAAAGATTCACACTTCAATAGTCACCTCATCTTCTTAACTTGCTTTCCGGTAGACATGATGTAGAATTCTTGATGCAGAAACTAAGCCAGTTTCATTTCCAATTCGCATTATGACTTGCAGGATTATCTGGAAGAGGATGATAAAGATGAAGAGATTGTTATTCCAGAATATAGGAGTTTGATTGCCATTCACGCAAAGAAGATGAAACGTGGATCAAATCTCCAGACCTTCTTTAATGATATAGAAAAAGTGTCAAGACTTAGTCTGAGTGAGCAAGAACTTGAAAATGCTACAGGAAACTGTGGACGCGATATTATCAGGTATAACTATATCACTTGACATTTTTTCTATCATTAGTCGAGTGAATTTTGAGTCTATGAATCATAGTCTGCAAACTTATTCATAGAGAAAATGAATGAACATACATCATATCTATTTGATAGCATTTTTTAAACATATAGTAGCTTCTAT